GTCTAGCGCGCTACACACGCTGCCAGTACATTTGATATAACTTTACCGGTAATAGCATCTTTTTATATTAATCGTTGCCAATGAGAGTAGCACAAACGATGAACTCCTCCAATGCAAAATAGCGATTTATGATTAAAGAAAACTTACGAGCATTAGATCCTCTTGACCCACCAGACTGAAAACACATTGAGATGTCACGTGTCTCGCTGGGTACAAGGTTGTGGTAAGGGTGTTGGCAGGGTTGTGGTAAGGGTATTGGCAGGGTTGTAGGTCCTTGACAACCCGGGTTCATTGAATAAACCCGGGTTGTGGAGACCACATCCCTGCATGTTGTGTGGGTGGCTGCGACTCTGCGATGGTGTCGCAACAATCAACAGCACCACCCGCGATAACACCTTATTACTACACTGTCACTGTCAAATATGGCGCCACTCTATAACGGCGAAGACGACGACGTCGCAACGACAGAGCGGCTCCCAGTTGAGGAAACCGGACCCTTCGCATGTCTGTGCAATAATCTCGTGAAATCCTTTTGCGCCGCCACCACCGTGCGCAACAAGCGGGTCATCGTCAGTCTTGGCTTGCTCCTGCTGCTCCCTGCGGTCCTCAGTGTGCGTACGTGTTGTGAAGCTGTAGCAACCTCGTCGTCACTCTTCATTTCTAGTGTTTCTGAGCTGGAAGGTGGATGGCGTCATTGCGTGGCCGTGGGGCACTGTCTTTTTGTTTGTGTGGCTCGTGGATGCGATGTGCCTTGCGTACTACCCCCGTATCATCCCGAGGTGGTCGGCCTCGCTCGAGCTCTCGTCAAGAACGAACGCGTCTGCACTCCCTCGTGCGCGTGGAGGCTCATGTCGCTTGTAGAGTTCATTTTGTGAGCTTTGCGTGTATGGTGCTCTGCCACGTCTTTATTGCGCTGCGCCTGGACGGTCTCGTTGACTGGAAGTGGACGTGGGTCTTGCTTCCGTTTATTCTCACTGGGATGCTCAAGCGCTCAAACCACGTTGCGGTGTTTGCGTGGCTCCAGGTTGTATTTCTCGCCCCGCGCCTCGATGCCACGCTCCTCTGGCCATGGCCCATCGTCTTTTTACCCCTGGAGCTCTACGCGATCGGCTGTCTCGCCTACTGCGTACGTCGTCCATCTCGTTTGTTTGGTGGCTCGTTGCACTTCGATAATACGTGTCATAGATGTACACGCTGAGTACAGCGCCTCCGCGGCAAGAACGGGCCAAGGCCGGGGCGACGCTTCTCGGTCTTGTGCTCTTGCTTGGGATACCACTCGTGCTCCTACTGCTGCGGCTCGAAGGGACTTGCGAGTTCTCGGCCATGTCCATTCTGACGTCGTGGCTCGTGGGCTATGGTATTTTGGCGATCGCGGTATGTCGTCATTTCTCAAAATGGAAATGCTCAGATCCGGGGTAGGGTTTGGCCAACATCCACTGGAGTGCGCCGCAGGATGATTTCGTGTAGTCCGTAGTCTAGTGCAGCTATTCCAACCGAGTTAAGAACGCGCATAACCCTTGCCACTATGAAGTCTGTTGTGCCGTTTCGAGTGCAAGACCGTTGGCGGCCGTTGCAAGACCATCATGTTGTGTTGCTGCAACTTGATTCTTTTGTGTTGCACTTCCAAACCCGTGCAGGAGCGCCCACGGACGAGTCGTCTTGCGCGGACAAGACAAGCAGTGGGTGCGGACGCACACTATTCAACTCATATCTGATGTTGATGTAGCCCTAGGGAATCAATTCCCTATGACGTAACGTCTCGGGTTGATTGCACCCAGAGTAGTTTTGTGGAGTGCTTCACGCCTGGTGACGATGACCCTGCGTTGCTGGGCGCATCGGGATCGAAAGGGCCTTGGGTAGGTGGAGCTGGGGCGCCTCATTTTCTACACCGTTCGCATGGTCGTTTGGCACGGGTTTGGGGTCTCCGGAATCCCTCGTTCCATGTTAGCGGAGCAAACACTGCACCGATTCGAGTGTCGCCACCAAACTTTGGTGATTGTTGCGACAGGCAATACTTTGGAATCGTCAATGCTGTCGATGCTAGCACACGAATCACGACCCGATCAGCACTGCAATGCTTGAACCACAGTCCACCCACAATCGCTAGCACAACCGAGCGTGTCGCAACAAGCACCAAATGTATTCGCTCATTCTTGCATTTCCAAAGAAATGGCGACGATCGGATTGACGCCAATTTGGGGAGTCGCCACCGAGCGTCTAGCCGACGAACGCGGACCATTCACGTACCTCTTTTACTGGTTTGTGGCGGCCTTGCGCGACGCCGACTCTGCTCGTGCCAAGCAACGTGTCTTTGGTCTTGGCCTCCTCCTCCTCCTTCCCGCCCTCCTCACTGCGTGTACTTGCGAAAAGGTCGGTATTGAAAGGAGGTGACGCTCTGCGCTGTATAGTGTGCGTCAGCTTCAAGGTCGACGGCGCGCTGGGTTGGCAGTGGCGTACGGTGTTTGCGCTCGTGTGGCTCGTGGACGCCGCGTGCCTCGTCTACTGCAATCGAGCGATTCGTAGCGCGACAATGGCGACGCTCTCGCGAACCTTGTACGTATGGAGCACTCAACGACGAGCTGGCGACTATTTTTCTCGCTTAGAGCCCACTTGGTTGTCTACAGTGGCCTCACGACGCACCACATCTTTCTCGTACTGCAGCTCGAGGGTCACATTACGTGGGGATGGAGCTGGGTCTTCTTCCCGTTCATCGCCACGGTAGTACCCGTGCACGGCACCTTGTTGACAATAGTGGTGTGGGCACAATTGCTGCAACTCGCCCCGCGCCTCGCCGCCGCGGTACACTGGTCGTGGCTCATTGTCTTTACACCCCTGGAGCTCTACGCGATCGGCAGCCTTGTCTACTACGTACGTGGTGAATTGCTCTTTCTCCCTCTAGACACCCTCTCGACAATATTGTTTCTTGAATAGGTGTACACGCTGTGTACGGAGCGGCCACAACAACACGCACCGGCGGAGATGATGCAGTCATTGCTGGCGTGGACACTGTTGCTGGTGGCGCCTCTTGGCCTGCTTCTCGCACGGCTCGAGGGATATGCCTTTTCAAGCAGCTTCGTTGTGGCGCCGTGGTTCCTTTTCTATGGTCTTTTCGCACTTTGGGTCTCTCCGATATTGCTCACACCGAACCAAACTCATTGATGTCTGGGGTAGGGTTGGTTGAAAATCACACAGCGGCGATTGATCTAGACCAACTGAACCACACACTATGCACAGATTACCCATGGTCTAGCTTACATAACGAACAATATCACTTTCATATTTGCATTCTACCCCACACATCTCAGACCGTGCCACGGTACAGCACACTGCGTGCCTAGGATTTCTTACAGGGTTTGGCCGTCGCACCGCGCAAGGATGCAGATTCGCGGTATCGTGACGTTATAACAGGATGCGCCCCTAGTGACACCAAGTCGCCCACGACTAGTGTCGTGAAGTGGTCGTCGTCGTGGACGCAATGTGCGGGTTCCGGGTATATTTGACTCTGTTTATCTTCGCACAGCATACTGCCTATTCTGCGTTTCTATTCCCTACAGCCTACAGTTGTACTGGGGCACGCCACGACCGTCATTGGGATGTGCAGACCACATCACCACACTAGCGCGTCAAGCCTGAGACAACAACGTTGTTTTGGTTTGTGATTCCAATCCAATGAGTGTAGTACGCATCGCACTCGGATTTTTCTTGTCGCTCAGGCTCGACGCTCGATGGCCTGTTCTTAAGCACTACGACGTCAGCTCTGGGACGAGAGCGATCTTTCGAGATCCCTCGTTTCAAACAGCTTCTGCTTCCGCATCGTCTTCAACGTAAAAGAGGACAATGACCGCACCCTACATATGCACCGATGAGAAATGGTATAATCCAACATTCCAACTGTCGTACGACGGCAATCAAAAGTGCCATGGCGCCAAAGTAGGGCAAGCCAATCACAAGGGTCGAGTACCCTGGATCCGCGTCCAGTTGCCGCGTGAGCAGCGCCAACAACGCGACGGGCGCGCCGACGCAAACATAGCAAGGCGAGGCCGCCACACGCCAGCAAGTTGGACGATGACGTGTCGTTATCATCGAGCAGAAGAAACATCAGAAACCCCTACACAAACACGTCCATGACGGAAATCGGTCAAAAGGTGACGTACAAGACCGGCCAGTACAAGGCCTAGTAGCAGCCATGTGGGTATAAAGACATAGCCCCAGCCAAAGCCGAGGAGCCCGTCCAGTCGAAGTAGCACGAGCGCATACTGGAGCGTGAAGGCGATGCTCACGGCAAACCAGTCGCTGCACATATCCGCGGCGAGAAGCAATGCGAAAGTAATAAAGTCCGTAGCTGGTGCGTTCAAGTTTCTCTGTCGGCGTTCCTGTCCATGAAACCCGAGTGCTGTCACATTCCACAGAGCGAGGACTTGGATTTCAATCAATTCTATTCTGCGTGTAGGCTACATCCTGCGAAAACAGCACCATACACGGCGCCTGCATCCCTGCGCTGGGCGACGACCAAACCCTACCCCAGACGACAATGAGTTTGGTTTGGTATAAACGATGTACCCAAAGCGCGAGCAGGCCATAGAATAGACACTACGGCACCACAATAAATCTGGTCGGGAATTGACATCCCTCGAGGCGTACGAGGAGTAGTCCAAGGGGCGCCACAAGCAGAAGTATACACGCCAGTAGCGACACCATCGTCACAGCCAGTGGCAGTGGCCGCTCCGCACACAGCGTGTACACCTATCAGCACATAATTTAGAGGGACAACAACAGTCAGCCACGTACATAGTAGACAAGG